ATCTGCATGCCAGAAATTTCAAAGTCTCCTAAGTACAAGAAGCTAGGTTTCACTCTAAAAGTTTTTTTTTTTTTTTTTTAAGATTTTATTTATTCATTTGACACACACAGAGAGAGAGACAAACACAGTGAAAAAGGGAACACAAGCAGGGGCAGAGGGAGAGGGAGAAGCAGGCTTCCCGCTGAGCAGGGAGCCCAATGTGTGGGGCTCGATCCCAGGACCCTAGGATCATGACCTGAGCCAAAGGCAGACGTTTAACGACTGAGCCACCCAGGCGCCCCAAAAGTTTTAATTTATATTACTTATCAAATTCTGTTTTAGCCATCTAAATATACTTTGATATTGGTTACAAAAAAATAAATAGGAAAGTTTTAAATGTTTTAGGCCCTATACTTAGTGCTTTATATATTGTCTCATTTTATTTTTGAACATAACCCTTTATATTCCAAGCTTATAAGCCATTATCTGAAACCCCTGAGGCCAGATCTATTTTATTTATTTTTAAGATTTCATTTATTTGAGAGAGAGAGAGAGCATGAGTGGGGGGGGAGGGAGAAGTAGGCTCCCTGCTCAGCAGGACCGTGAGATCATGATCTGATCATGCCGGCAGGACCCTGGGATCATGACCCTAGCCAAAGGCAGATGCTTAACCAACTGAACCATCCAGGCGTCCCCAGATCTGTTTTAGAATTCTAAGTTTTTCATATTTTAGATAATTTAGGGTATATAATTTCTAGACAAGTGTTACTTTTCCAATAATGAAACATTATATTAAATGGAATAAATAGGGCTTTACATCAGTTCAGATCATATCTTCCTACAAATGGATTGTAATATTAGGTTTTGACATCAAAGAAATTAAGGCTGTTTTTAGTTTTCTAGGATTTCTAAAATGTGGAATTTCAGATAATTCCTTCTGTTTATATGTATTCTCCATATTTGTGTAGCTGTTATTGGTGGAAACTCTATACTCAGATTTATCTGGTACCATTTCTCATGTACTATCTTTGCCACGTAATAAAAGGGCTAGTCTTGATTGAGAGCTTGCTGAGCTTTCCTTTAATGTTATTTCTCTTGTTCTGTGTGTGGTTTTCATGACGACTCTTTGACCCCTCACTTCATTTATTACTCACTGCCATACTCTGTGTAACTCAGACAGCACCAGGTGCCCAGTGAGTATTTCTTGGATGAATGACTCCACCCACAGATACGCTGAAAGCTTTATTTTTTCGTAGCCCCTCACATGTCATGAGGTTTTTACCTAGCACAGTAGGGTGAAAGGCAGGACAGGGGCATTAACTGCTTTATGTCTGGTTTCATGATTTTCTATAGTCACAGTAGGTACACAAGAAAACCATTACTGTTAATGTGCCTGGTGGGAATGATCAGTGGGGTCAGTAGTGTATGATGTACTTACGTGGATGTATGGATATTGATTTATACTTAATTTTCTTGCTAGATTTACTGTAAAAAACATTTTGCTTTATTTCCTTTTTTATACTTAATAGAATGCTCCTCCCTACTTCTGTCTGGTGGAAAGGCCATAATTGTAGGAATTGGGAGAATTGGGTCAGGTTCCAACGTTGCTGGTATTATCGCAGGGTCACATTGGGAAGGCAGTTTGTTTTGGGGTCTTGATATCCTGATAGCAAAAGTTTGTTTATTCAGGGGGTGCCTGGGTCACTCTCAGTTGAGTGTCCAACTTTTGGTTTTGGTTTGGGTTGTGATCTTGGTTTTGTGGGACCAAGCCTCTTGTCAGGCTTGCACTCAGTGGGGAGTCTGCCTGGGATTCTCTCTCTTGCTCTCCCCCTCTGCCCCTCCCCTGGCTCATGTGCTCTCACCCTCTCTTGTGCCCATGCACGCTCTCTCTCAAATAATAAATAGATCTTTTTTTTTTTTTAAGTTTTTTCAGAAGGTAAAAGTTGAGCTGAGTAAAATTTCAGGGTAGCAAAGTTTTCATTGGCATTCTGTTGTCTTCCTTTGAGCGCTTAACCTACTTTCTAGGCTTCCTTCTTGCCCAGGGAAGCAGTGACCTCAGGCATAAAAAAGGTGCCCCAACTGTGGCACCTACTTTCTCTGCACTGCTCCATTGTCCAGAAATAGTAGTCCTTTCACTCTGGATCCCCATTCCCTTAGTTCTGTGGCTGTCAGCTGAAGTAGGTGCCAGGAAAAAATCAGTCTGGAAATTACAGCTAATAGGGGAAGAGATTTGGTGCAGCATAGCCTTCCCATATCTCTGCATGTCTTTCACTGAGGATTTTGCCTCACTGTTAAAGTTTAAATAACCTCAGAGGACAGTTTTGCCCTTCCAGATTTCCCTGATTTGTCTCTTAATCCCTTTCTCTTTAGCTTATCCCATAAAAGTCCTCTCTCCTGAGTCCTTACAACCCTTTTACTTGCCCTGATGCCCACTGCTGCCCGATTGTTTGTTTTCTCAGAGGCTGGGATTCAACAGATCCTTAGTCTGCATTTCTGCCTCTGATGAGGTTTTGTCCTTTTTGAACCTCGCCATGGCAGATCCACTTCTGGAATCCCTTGCTTTGAATAGAACTCAGTAAACCAGAAAGGTGGGGGTGAGGTCACTTCTTGTAAGGAAACACCCCGTCCTTTCTCAGTTTGATATGTGATACTGACTGACTGTGTAAAGGTATGTCAACAGGGGGCTCTCAACTTTTTTCCTTAGCCTAAGTATTAGACAAGAGAGTCAAACTTAGAGAGTGCTAGGGGAAGCTTTAGCACAGTGTTATGAACATGGCACATAAATGGTTCTTTCCAGCTGGAGAGAACTAAAGATAGTGAAGGTGGAACTAACATCCTGGATTTCTACCTGAACATTGTCACTGGAACTGATCTTACGAGAAGGTTTTTAGACCAATGCATATTAAGGTTTTATCTTAACTGATTATAATTCCCTAGAAAATAAAGCTTCTAAAATTACATATTTCACGTGTTTGTATGCTGTGCGCAAAGAAAGTGTGGTGTGGATAACAGGATTCTGGATTCTGGAGCTACAGTCTCCAAAGCTGGATAAGAGACCCAAGACAGTATGCAAAGGGTTGTTAATAATTTAAAGTGAGACTGGGGGTCTGAGGAAAGAAATGACACCTTAGATTCCTATTTTCAAAAACAGCAGGATTTCATTTTGTCAACATTCTCTACAAGCCACTATAATGTGAAACCCTTTTCTGGTTCTATATTTATTGTTGGTCAGTCATAAAATATTTCCTAATGCAACAGAATCTCTGGCTTCTAATTCATTAAATATTTATACTATTTTTATAACATTTATTAAATAACATTGTATTTAATTTACCTGGTTATTTTTAAATGTGTACCATTGGACATTTAGATCACAGTCCAACTATTGCTTTGCAGGTTTGTTTTTTTTTTTTAAGATTTTATTTACTTATTAGAGCGTCGTATGCACGCATGACTGGGGGGAGGAGCAGAGGGAGAGGGAGAAGCAGCCTCCCTGCTGAGTGGGGAGCCTGATTCAGGGCTCAGTCTCAGGACCCCAAGATCATGACTTGAGCCGAAGGCAGATGTTTAACCTACTGAGCCACCCAGGCGCCCCATGTTGCTTTGCAGTTTAAAAGGAACTTGAAATTATGTGCTAATAGATATATGTATATGTATATATGAATATATATATATATATATTCTAGTCTTTAGGTAAGACTGTGTTGAGTAGAATGTAAAGGAAAGGCTGGACTCTTGTTTAAAACATACTCTCTCTATGTGCTACCATGTTTTGCTAGCCTCACTAGACAGAAAGGATTATTTTGCAGCAATAAGAACTGTCTTTGCTGTCACAGCTGTCCCAAGAGTACCAGCCAACTATCTCCTTAGTATTCTGGGAGCCCCAGATGACCCCTCATCTGAGCTCCCAAAACATTTCCCTTTTTCCTCTGTTCCTCCTCCACCCTTTTGGTAGTCACTTACTGGGGTGCCAGTTGAGGCCAGGGCCTCCTCACCAATGTTGCTAGTTCCCCCAGGGCACACTGGTACCTGTGCCAGTGGGCTCCTGGAGTTTCTAAGCATGAATCTTTAAACTGCAAAAGTGGGTAGCACTATATTCTTAGAAGAAATGTTCTGGGAGAATGCTTTACTCTCTCACATGCTTGTACTTCACAGACTGCTGGCCATTCTGTCAGCTCCTTCTTACTGCCACCTTTCTCCATAGAGCCAAGTAGGAATTCATGGAAATAATGGGGTTGGGGACTAATGCCTGAAGCATACTTTGCTGATAGTAATTTCCTTCTAATGCCTGGCAAAATCTCTTCTCCCTGTCTTTTCAGGACCAAAACCCAATTGAGCAACCAAGCAAACCTCATGCATGACCAACTACCACTTCATGAGACATGCTTAGAAATCTTGAGTTCCACCTTAGGGTGGATATAGGATCCTGAGTGCATTACTTAAAGATAATAATAGTTATCATTATCAGTAGACTGCAGGGATTTCTAGAAAATCAGTTTTGTCATGTTCTCGTCACACCCACTCACTTTGCTCCCCACTCACCAGATTCCAGAACCTAGCCAGGCTGTGACCATGGAGCACAAAACATCTCTGGATGTGTAGGGAAACCAGACTTTTATCCCTTGGTTGTAACTATCCCAGTATAGCTTAATCTTACTCATCCATATATAATCTTTTTCGTATATGGAAAAGAAAACTGAATAACTTAGCATATCTACTTTTGAGAGGAAAGAACACTTTTAATATTTGTATCATAATAATTAGAATAATAGATTCTAAACATGATCTGTAATAATAAGTTAATTTTTCATGTTTGTCTAGTTATTTCCAAAATTGTATTATGTCTCGATTATTACTATTTTTCTTTTAAAACATCTTTACTTCTTGCCTCTAAGTTTTTTTCTTGGCACAGTTGATTCATGGATTTATGCTGTATGATTAGTATTCATTTCTAATCCTAACTTGATTTTTTTTTTCCTGTCCCCACCAGCTAGAAACATTTTTATTTTATTTTCACACAGATGCAGAGTTTGCAGGGTGGTACAGAAGCCATAGCCCGATTGGATCAGTTAGAAGCTGATTATTATGATCTGCAACTTCAGTTGTATGAAGTACAGTTTGAAATCCTGAAGTGTGAAGAGTTATTATTGACAGCCCAACTGGAAAGCATCAAAAGACTTATATCGGGTATGGTGTGCATTCAACCACATAAATCCAGAAAAAATTGAAAACATAGAGAAAATATATATATTTGTCAGCTGTGTTTCTTGAAATTTTGAGACTAAAAAAGTCTTAACATAAAACCTTTTAGAGGAGCTCTTAAACTCAAGTCATTAAGTAGAGTCAGCAATGCAACTATGTATTACTTATGTAAAATGCTTACTTTTGTTAGGTTGTTTCAGCCAGAAAATTTTTGAGTTTTGGGGATGATACTTAACATTTGTTGAGCACTTAACTGCATGCCAGACACTGCTGAGCACTTCCTACACACACTCACCCTAGAAGGTGTATTTCCCAATAATCACTGTTTTACAAAGAAGCTCAAGAGGTCATGAATACAAGCCCCATGCTTGGCTGTAGAGCTTACTGAAAGAAAAAAAAAAAAAGAAAATTAAAGACATACAGGATCAAACGGAGTCTTAATGAAAAACTAAGGGGGGTGGTGTTGCCTGAGGTTACAGAACCAATAAGTGGATTAGAACCATGTTCTGTCTGGCTCCATAGCCCATGCTCTTAACTACTACCCCTTGTTGCTGTTTTGTTCTAGAAAAGAGAGATGAAGTGGTATACTATGACACTTACGAAAGCATGGAGGCCATGCTGGAGAAGGAAGAAATGGCAGCATCTGTGCACTTACAGAGAGAAGAGCTACAGAAACTTCAGCAGAAAGCACGCCAGCTAGAAGCAAGACGTGGACGGGTTTCAGCCAAGAAAGCCTACCTCAGAAATAAAAAGGTATAATAGGTATTTATTGAATAGACAGCCTTAATTTTAAATCCTGCTTTTAGTCATTACTTAGTCCTTGACCCATATCTAATTCTAACCTGGTTTGTCACTAATACTTGTTTTAAAACTAAGTGAGAGTTACCTCTTTCCAATACTTGAGCCATTATATTAACATTTTATAGTTCTCCGAGAGCTGCCCTGTTAACATTAGAACAGCCAGTGATGATGTCCTGTTTACCTGTGGCACCCTGAAGGTGACTCTGCTAAAGGGCATGACTGCAGGATCCCATGTAATGCAGTTCCTGGCTCCTCATTATTTAAGGAGGCCAGTGCTGTTCTAAATGAAGTCTTGGTTCTGACCTCAGTCTTGAAGGAATTATATATATATTAATCTAATTCTGAGGTAGGGAAAGGCACCCCCAGAGAATCTGCCTGTTTATACCAGCAGCCTCAGATCTGCTGCAACCCATCACATCACACAGAGTCAGGGGCCCTCGAGGGTCGTGTCCTCTCCCATCCTTACCCCTGTCCCTCCAAGCCTACCATCTGGGGTGGCAGGTCTGCAGGGGGAGGAAGTACTGACAAAAGATGGCTGGAAAGAGAGAAAACTAGAAACACTAAGTCGTAAAAAGAAAGACAACGAGAAGATCAACTGTATGATATAAAAGATAAAAACACACCTCTCCATGTAACGTCGTCTTATAATCCTTGTCTCCATGTCATCATGCCCACAGTCCCAGGGTGCTTGGTTTACCCAATATCCACAGTAGAATTGCATACCCAAGGGTAGTTCTAAGAAAATCATGTCCTGCTTCTCCTCTTGAAAAAACAAAGATGGTCTCTGGCTATGCCATGAGGGCTTGAAATCTGCGCTTTGTGATTGGACTTTTTAAGAAAAATAATAAAAACAACATTATTCTTTATGCATTTTTTATCTTCTTTAATGATACCACTAGTCAAATGAGGTAATAATCTTTTGCCTAAAGCCGAGAAAGCTCCAAAAACCAAAAGCATTCTCATACTTGGTTTGGTGACAAGACCAGACCTGAGCTGAGAGGAAGTTGTCCATCTCATAGTCCCACTTAATTTGACTATTCATATATTTCACTGCAAAAATGTTAGTATTACTTTTAGGGCGCTCTTTCAGATCCTGCTGGAGTTACTGGGTAGTGTATATGCAACATACCACCTTTCTAAAATCTGAAAATAAGGGACTTGGGACCTATATTCTCATTTTGTAATCAAGGGAACTAAGGCTCCTGATAGTTAAATAAATCACCCAGAGAAAAGCAGCTAGTTACTGTGCAATGATAGGATTCTGTCTTAGGTCTGTGTGATTTAGAAGCCTGAGTCATTGTACCACCATATCATGTTACTTATATATAATACTACCTTTGTTATCCCCCTGGAGACTGCCCTGAACAGTTTAATTTCAGGATCTGTACTTGTTAGGCAATAGAGTCAACCCAGTGTTGGTGAAAAAGACAACACAGTTGCTTTACAGTGTAGTTCATGGGCTTAAAAGGTCATTCATTATATCACTTTCTCTGGTTAGAAGATTGATCTTTTGGTATAGTTTTGAGAGTGTTGGAAACTAATGGTCATCTTTTTATCTGGAGGACTTCTCTAGGAAGACCGAGGGAAAAAGACGTAGCGTGGTGCCATTAAATGTTGCCAGATGATAGTGCGTTATTTTGTAAAGAGGCATGTATTTCCTAGTTTATTATTATGTTTTTATTTTCATGTGATTAGAATAAGCATTCATATATATATATATATATTTTTTTTGTCATTCTGACTTTTTTTTTATCTTTAAGGTTCCTTTTCACTCAATCTCTGACCATAAGGTACAGATTTCATAATACCATTTAAGCCACTCCAAGCAAAATCATGTTCTTTAACCCATCAGAGTTTAGAATACAGACTTTCAGCCAAGGGTTGTATATCCTTTTTTACTCAAACTAGTTTAAAGAGTACAATAAGACTTAGAATCTTTTGGCCACAGACTTCAGAGCTTAAAGAGAGCTTTGAGATTATCTAAGGATACCCTTGTCCACTCTATCTTGCTGTATCCCTCCCCGTCCAAAAAAAAAAAAAACTTAGAAAAGAGTTGTTCTAGAGAAGTTAATATTTTTCTTAGATCCTAATGATTTGGTTTCTGCTGCTTCAGTACTCCAGATGAGAAACCAAACGTGGCCTACTTGGTGTTTTGCTATTGTAGGTACATGTTTTTAAGTTTTTTTAAAGATTTTTATTTATTTAACAGAGAGAGAGAGTGAAAGAGGGAACACAAGCAGGGGGAGTGGGAGAGGGAGAGGGAGAAGCAGGCTTCCCACTGAGCAGGGAGCCCGATGCAGGGCTTTGGGATCATGACCTGAGCTGAAGGCAAATGCTTAACAACTGAGCCACCCAGGTGCCCTATGTAGGTACATGTTAAGATTAAAACTAAAACCCAGTTAAATAAACTCTGGTATGGTGTCCGAGTCTTTCAGGTTTCACTTACATTAAAACACATTTTATGTATTTATAGGAAATTTGTATTGCAAAACACAATGAAAAGTTCCAACAGCGCCTTCGGAGTGAAGATGAATATAGAACCCATCACACAGTACAACTAGTAAGTTTGGACTTGTGGAGACTTAGAAGAAAACTTTGATTTTTACATGTCTCAAAGTGAATAGAGAATAAGAAAATGTGAATAACTAGATGTTAGCATTAATTCCATATATATGTATGTAGGAATGTATGTAGTTCAATATGTATGCATATATATGCATACATTATTATTTAGAACAGTTTTAGAGAAATTGACTAGACAGTTTGTTCCTATATACTTCCTATATACAAGTTCCTATATACTTCCACACATGCACAGCTTCTCCTTCCAACCAGAGTGTTGTACCTTTGTTACAGTCAGTGAATCAGCATTGATACATCGGTATCACCTGAAGTCCATAATGGAGTTTAGAGTTCATTCTTGGTGATGTGTGTTCTATTGGTTTTGACAAATGTATAGTGATAGGATATGAATCCACCATTATAATATCATACAGAACATTTTCACCACCCTGAGAATGTCCTGTGTTCTATGTATTCATCCCCCTCTCTCTTCACACCCCTGGCAACCATTGATCTTTTTACTGTCTCTACAGTCTTGCCTTTTCTAGAATGTTTAATTGGAATCATACAGTATGTAGCCTTTTCTGATGGACATAACTCAGTAATATGCATTTAATATTCCTCCATTCATTTTCTATCTTTTTTTTTTTTTCCTCCATGCATTTTCATGGCTTGATAGTTTATTTCTTTTTAGTGCCAGATAATATTCCATTGTCTGGGTACACCACAGTTTATCGATTAACCTATTGAGACATGTTGGTTGCTCCTGTGTTTTGGCACTTATAAATAAAGTTGCTATAAGCATTCATACAGGTTTTTGTGTGCACATAAGTTTTCATCTCTTGAGTAAATACCAAGGAGCACGATTGCTGGATTATAAAGGTAAGAGTTGATTTAATTTTGTAGCAAACTGCGAAACTGTCTACTACAGTGGCTATAGCACTTTGCATTGCTACCAACAATGAGAGTTCCTATCGCTCCATATCCTTACCAGCATTTGGTATTGTCAGTGTTTTGTATTTTAGCCATTTTAATTAGGAATGTGGTGGTATCTGATGAATGTTTAGTTTGCAGTTCCCTAGTGGTGTATGATAATGAGCATCTTTTCACAGTGCTTTCTTGTCATCTGTATATCTTCTTTGCTGAGGTTATGTACAGATCTTTTTCTGGTTTTTCAATTGGGTTTTCTTTTTATTGAGTTTTAAGAATTCTTTATTCTGGATAAAGTCCTTTATCAGACAGGGTTTTTTAAAAAGCAGATATTCTCCAAATTTGTGGCTTGTCTTTTCATTCTCTTGACAGCATCTCTTGCAGAACAGGATATTTTTTATTTTAATTTTAATGTTAATGAAGGCCAGCTTATCACTTCTTTCTTTCATGAGTTGTACTTTTGGTGCTGTATCTAAAAAGTCCTCTCCAAACCCAGGGTCATCTGTATTTTCTCAAAACTGTGTTATATTTTGGGAGCTTTATAGTTTATTTTACATTTAAGTCTGTGATCTGTTTTGAGTTAATGTATGTGAAGGGTATAGGGTCTGTAGCTAAACTTCTTTTTAAATGTGAGTGTGTAGTTGTTCCAATACCATTTCTTTAAAAAAAAAACACAAAAACTGTCATTTCTCCATTGGATTGCCTTTGCTCTTGTTAAAGATCAGTTGATTAAATATATTTGGGTCTACTTTGTACTCTGTGTTGTTATATTGATCTAGGTCTTCTGCTGCTCCAAAGCTAGTCAGTAACCACAAAATAAGCAACTGACATTTTGACTAGGATTACATCATATGTATAGGTTAAGTTTCAGAATAATGGACACCTTAATATTGTGTCTTCCTGTCTATAAACAAGGAATTAGCTATTTATTAAGATCTTTTTTGATTTCTTTTATAAGTTTTATAGTTGACCTCATATAGATCTTATTCATATTTTATTAGATTTGTGCCTAAATCTTTCTCTTTTTTTGATGGTAATGTAGTTTTGTTTTGTTTTTTTTTTAAAGATTTTATTTATTTATTTGACAGAGACACAGTGAGAGAGGGAACACAAGCAGGGGAGTGGGAGAGGGAGAAGCAGGCCTCCCGCCAAGCAGGGAGCCCGAGGCGGGGCTCGATCCCAGGACCCCGGGATCATGACCCGAGCCGAAGGCAGACGCTTAACCGACTGAGCCACCCAGGCGCCCCTGTAAATAGTTTTTAATATTAAACTTTGAGATGTTCGTTGCTGGTACATTAGAAAGCATTTGGCTTTTCTATGTCAACCTTGTATCCTGTAGCCGAGCTATAATCCACTCATTAGTCCAGGAGCTTTCTTTTTCTGTTGGTTCTTTTAGGTTTTCTACATGAACGATCTTGTCATCTGCAAATGAAGAGAGGTGTATTTCTTCTATCCCAATCTGTACACCTTTTACTTAACTCCACTTTTTCCAGTAGCTAGGGCTTTCAGTATGATGCTCACCAAGAAGGAATGGTGAGAGGGGACAGCTTTGTCTTCTCCTGATCTTAGCAAGAAGGCGTCTTGTTTCTGACCATTAACTACCATGCTTAGCTATAGGGTTTTCTGTAGATATTCCTTATCAAGGTGAGGAACTTTCTCTCTGTGATTTACTGAGATCATTAGTTCACTTTTTTAAAAAATTGCATTAGAAATCTTCTCCCAGCATCGCTCCACCTCATTATGTCTGTAGTGTATTATCCTGATAGTAGTCTTTTCAGACACCGTGTCTTAGATTACTCAACCAATAATTTTAAATTTCATTGAATAGTAGAAATGCTGACATGACCATATCACTGTATGTGCTTATATAGTGTTTGTCACCCTAAAGGCCAAATGGCTTAAATTTTTCTGTATTAATCCCTTAAGCTCATTTTGGCACATATTAAAGTTGCCCGTTACTCTTGATTTTAAACACATAAAAGTAGCCAAACTACCCATAAACTGTAAAATTCATCATTCTCCAAGAAACTAGAAATAGCAAAATTAATTCTTGCACTTTTATTTTTCATTGTGCTTTTCATAGATCAGAAACTGCCTTGTAAACGGTAGATAATGGACCAAACAGGCAAATAAGAACGCCTCCTATCAGCCTCCGTACCTGTGCCATCAGAGTGCTCTTGAGATCCCATGCTTAAACATTACTCTATGAAGATTTTGCCACTACTTTGGTAGATGTAGTAACTAAATTTTTTTTTTTTTTAGATTTTTATTTATTTGACAGCACAATTGGGGAGCAGCAGGTAGAGGGAGTGGGAGAAGCAGGTTCCCCACAGAGCAGGGAGCCCAATGCTCCTGGGATCATGACCTGAGCCAAAGGCAGACACAACTGAAGGAGCTACGAGGCGCCCCTAATTAGTTTTTTAGAATGACTATCAAATCCTTTCTCCAAGAGTTTCTTAGGGCAAAGAAGAGTAAAAATGAGGAAACTGATACTTGAGGAGATCTCAAAGATAAATGTCATCTGCCTTTTAATTCTGCCGAATACCAGCTTTGGGTGGAATGCTAAGTATGGGAGATGAGCCCACTAACCATCTCCTTTTCCTTAACGTGCATAACTGTAGGAAAAGGCAAGTTGGCTTACATTAAAATAAATCATTGTTTTTCTTTTTTCCTCTTTAAAGATTTTATTTATTTGGCAGAGAGAGAGAGAGAGTACAAGCAGTGGGGAGCGGCAGGCAGAGGGAGAGGGAGATCCCTGCTGAGCAGGGAGCCCGATGCGGGGCTCGATCCCAGGACCCTGGGAACATGACCTGAGCCGAAGGCAGGTGCTTAACTGACTAAGCCACCCAGGCGCCCCAAATCATTGTTTTTCAAAGCTAGGTTTAAACCACCTTTATTAAAATCTCTTGGGTGGTTTAAAATGTGCATTCCTACATACTAACATTATTGTCTCAAAAATTTATTCTGGTGGGGCGCCTGGGTGGCTCAGTCGGTTGGGTGACTGCCTTCGGCTCAGGTCATGATCCTGGAGTCCCGGGATCGAGCCCCACATCGGGCTCTCTGCTCAGCGGGGAGTCTGCTTCTCCCTCTGACTCTCCTCCCTCTCATGCTCTCTGTCTCTCATTCTCTGTCTCTCAAATGAATAAATAAAATCTTTAAAAAAAAAAAAATTTATTCTGGAAATCCTTGCAAATTAAATAAGACTAAGGAAGTTTATTTTAATATTTGATAGTAAGCCTCTGAAACAATAAAGAAAATGTAAAGCTACTTTTTTTTTTTTTTAAGCTCAGAGACAAATTGAGTAAGAGAAGGAAATGGTGGTGGGGACACAAGTCAGTTTTCCCATTAAAAAGTGAATTCTTGTTTTATTAACCACATTCATAACTGATGGGTTTCACTTCAAGAAAGTACAAACAGGGGCGCTTGGGTGGCTCAGTCGGTTAAGCGTCTGCCTTCGGCTCAGGTGATGATCCCAGGGTCCTGGGATCGAGTCCCACATCAGGATCCCTGCTCAGCGGGAAGCCTCCTTCTCCCTCTCCCACTCCCCCTGCTTGTGTTCCCTGTCTCACTGTGTCTCTCTCTGTCAAAAAAAAAAAAGTACAAACAATAATTTTAAGGTGTAGTTTATGAAAACTGATCAGAAGTTTTAAGATTATTTTGGTTACAGTGGTTTTTTTAAAAACCATTTTTTGACAGTTTTTTTTAATTCATGTATTTCCATACAACATTGTGCAAATTTAAGATGTAGCATATTGATTTGATGCATTCCATTTGCAGTATGATTGCCATTGCTAACATCTCTATGGTATCACATAAGTACAATCTCTTGTAGTGTTGAACAGTTAAGATGTAGTCTCTTATCTAGTTTATTGTTCATAATACTTTCTTTTCTAACAGAAGATATTTTAAAATTGAAGTGTAGTTGACACACAACGGTATGTTAGTTTCAGTTTCGGGTGTACAGATACTGATGTGACAGTTCTCTACATCATGCTGTCTTCACTGCCAGTGCAGCTCCTGCCTGTCACCGCACAGCACTGTGACAGTACCACTGACTGCATTCCCTGCGCTGCATCTTTTATCCCTGTGAGTTACTCATTGCATAACTGGAAGCTGGTACCTTCCATTGCCCTCCAAGCACCTTTTCCCACCTGCCCATCTCTCTTCCCTCTGGAAACCACAAGTTTGTTCTTTGTACTGATGGGTCTGTTTCTGCTTTTTTGTTGTTGTTGTTGTTTATTTTGTTTTTTAAATGCCACATGTAAGTGAGATCATAAAACATTTGTCTGATTTACTTCACTTAGCATAATACCCCCTAGGTCCATCCATGTTGTTACAGATGGCAAGATCTCATTCTTTTTATGGCTGAGTAATATTCCATTGTACATACCCATCTCCATCCACTCATCTTTTGATGGACACTTTGGTTGCTTACATATTTTGGCTATTGTGAATAATGCTGCAACAAAGATAGGGGTGCATATAGCCTTTTGAATTAAAGTTTTCGTATTCTTTGGGTAAATACCCAAAAGTGGAATTACTATATCATGGGATATTTCTATTTTTAGTTTTTTTGAGGAGCCTCCATACTGTTGTCCACAGTGGCTGCCCCAGTTTACCCTCCTACCAACAGTGCACGAGGCTTCCTTTTGTCCACGTCCTTGCCAACACTTGTTATTTCTTGTCTTTTTCATTCTAGCCATTCTGACAGGTGTAAGGTGATATGTCACTGTGGTTTTGATTTTCATTTCCCCAATTATTAGTGATGTTGAGCATTTTTTCATGTGTCTGTTGGCCATTTGAATATCTTTTGAAAAATCCTCTGCCCATTTTAAAGTAGATTATTATTTTTTTCTCTGGTATTGTTGTATAAGTTCTTTATATATTTCAGATTTAATGCCTTTCTGGACATATCATTTGCAAATATCTTCTTTCATTCAGCAGGTTGTCTTTTCATTCTGCTGATGGTTTCCTTCACTGTGCCAAAATTTTTTATATTGGTGTAGTCCCAGTACTTGATTTTTGCTTTTGTTTCCTTTGCCTGAGGAGACCTATCTAGAAAAATGTTGCTAAGGCTGTTGTCCAAGAGATTACTGCCTGTGCTCTCTTCTTTTTCCTCTTTTTCACCACCTGCACCTCCAGCAGGGTCTGTTTCTTACTTGGTGCTTGACAGCTAAACCTCCAGGTCTATTTAATGCCTATTCTTCCTCAGCACCACGTACACATCCCTTCTGCTTTCCTAGGGCTTACGATAGGGCCTGGCTGACAGGTAATTGATGTGTTTGATGGAAGAATGGAATTTCTTTATCTTCAGCTGCTTTTCCCCTAACATATTACTCTCTTAGATGGTATTTTAACGTGCCATCCTTTTTTATTATACGATCTTAAAAAAGTTTCCTTGCTCTTAATATTTTCTAATTTTATTTTACTATCTATAAGCAAGGTGGTTTTTTTCCTGAATAATTGAGTATCCTGATGTGTATAAATTTTGATCACTTACCAGATTTAAAAAAGCATATTCTAAACTTTTTCTTTACTGCTACTTTAAAAATTCTTCTATTAAAAGCAATTTTAATTAGTGGCTTGCAAAAATGCTTCTCAACCATTCTTACTCATTTTTAAAAACCTTACTGTGTTTATAAAAAGACATAAATGATTGTTATAAAAGAATAAAGCAATACAGAAAAAAAACTATGAAGAAAAAACCACCAAAATAGATTATCACAACTCCTCTTCCTGAGTTTATTTTGATTCATCTTAGAGCTAGATTTCATTGAGGTACCATTTCAGGAAAGTTTTATGGTTACCATATATTCTGTGTTCTGGCATTTCCTAAGAGACAATTTGTCTAGGTCATACTGTCATATTTTCTCTCCACCAAATTTGGAGACATTGTTAAACACTTTCTTGTAGCTTTGAATGTTGCAGTGAGAGGCCTGAGGTTTCCCCTCCCTCCACCCATCCTCCATGAGACTTGAGTTTTCTGCGTGGATACTCAAAAAGAGTCTTTGTTTGTTGTGGAAGTCTAGTAACTTTACCAGGTGATCATTGTGCATCAGTGTTTCCTGAAACTGGATGGTCACTTTCAGCCTAAAGATTCAAATCATCCTTTAGATTTCAGTATAATCATCCAAGACAAATGAAGTAGTAACTCTCACTAGAAATTGTCCAGGGAAAAGCTGGTGGGAAACAAGAGAGGTAATAGAGTAAGATAATAATGGAAAATTGAATTTGAAAAGGACAAATGGAAGAGAGACAAGTTAATGACACACTGGAGACCACGGTCCTCTTCACACGAAATTAATTGATCTTGTAGGAGGTATCTCCTAGTTTTTAAAACAAAGCAGGAAATAAAATCATAGCCTTTTCATTTAATTCTTGTTCTGTGAAATCAGATTTAATTTGATACCTTTTAGGTGATTCAGCAGCATAAGGAATTTTATTTTTTAATTCCAGTATAGTTAACATACAGTGTTCTGTTTGTTTCATGTGTATAATATAATCGTTTAACAATTCTTTACATTACTCAGTGCATATCATGAAACGTGTACTCTTAATCCCCATTACATCTTTCACCCTTTCCTCCCACCCACCTCTCCTCTGGCAATGATCTATTCTCTATAGTTAAGAATCTGTTTCTTGGTTTGTCTCTTTTTTCCTTTACTCATTTGTTTCTTAAATTCCACATGTAAGTGAAATCATATGGTATTTGTCTTTCTCTTATTTCACTTAGCATTATACTCTCTAGGTCCATCCATGTTGTTGCAGATGGCAAGTTTTCATTATTTTTATGGCTGAGCAGTATTGTTTTATATATGCCAAAGCTTCTTTATTCATTTATCTATAGATGGACACTTGGGCTGCTTCCATAATTTGGCTATGATAAATAGTGCTGCAGTAGACATAGGAGTGCATATATCTTTTCCAATTAGTGTTTGCATATTCTTTAGGTAAATACCTAGTAGTGGAATTACTGGATCATAAGGTAATTCTATTTTTAATTTTTTGAGGAGCCTCCATACTCCAGACATATAAACTGTTTTCCACAGTTACTACCAGTTAGCATTAACATAGGGAAATTTTTAAATTTCTGTGCAGATAACTCAGTTTCAAGGTGTGATACTAATCCAGATGATTCATGAATACTGCGAGAAATACTTTTTTTTCCTAACTGCTGGTTATATTGTTTGAATGATGGTGCAGTATCTAAACTATTGGCCAGGTGGCTGCTGATTTTATTTTTAAGGTGAACTGTTTGATTTTGCAGAATAGAGCAGCTACAGGTATTTTATATTTAAACTCTTTAAGCCAGAACCTCAAAGATGGAACATTTTTTAATCTAGAGAAGATATGATTTTACTTTTCAGAGTAAACATCTTTAATTGTGGGTAAATGCAAAAAAAGAAACAGTATTTTTTTTGTCAGCATATCATTGTGAATTTTAAAACTATGATTTCTATTAAAAACTAGTAGTTTCATGCTATGAAACACTTTGTTTAATGAATCATTCTTTGGAGTTACCCATTTTACTTATTGGGAGAACTCCCCCCCCACTCCTACCCCCTAGTTAATAATAAAAATGAATGGGACACATCATAATGGAATTACTATTAATTTTTTACCAGAAGAGAGAAAAATTGCATGACGAAGAAGAAAGAAAAAGTGCTTGGGTTAGCCAGGAGAGACAAAGAACACTGGATAGACTTCGAACTTTTAAACAGGTAATAAATGTATGATCAATTTATTTTTCATTGCTTTTTTAAACAGCTACATATACAGTCCTATTGGAAGATTATGAGAAAAACTTAGGTTTTCCTTTATAATTTAGAAAATAAAATTTTGGGGGGATGGGCTGATGGGTTGATGGACAATAAGGTTATGAGCAATGTGTGTTCTATGCAACTGATGAATCACAGTTCTACCCTAAAAATAATATACTATTTGTTAACGACCTTGAATTTAAATAAAGCCAAAAAAAAAATTATTTTAGGGGTACCTGGGTAGCTAAGTTGGTTAAGTGTCTGACTCTTGATTTTCTCTCAGGTCATGATCTCAGGATTGAGAGATCAAGCCCCGTGTCCGGCTCTGCGCTTGGCAGATTTGCTCCTCTCTCTTCTCTCAAATAAACAAATAAATAAAATACTAAAATAATTTTTTAAATTAATGTTTGATTACAGGGCTACCTTTCTTCTCTGTGTGTGTGTGTTTGTTTTAAAGATATCATTAGAGAGAGAGAGAGAGTGGGGGCAGGGGCAGAAGGAGGAGGAGAGTCTTTTTTTTTTTAAATAAAAATTTTTTTTTTTAATTTTATTTATTTGACAGAGAGAGACACAGTGAGAGAGGGAACACAAGCAGGGGAGTGAGAGAGGGAGAAGCATACTCCCCGTGGAGCAGGGAGCCCAATGCGGGGCTCGATCCCAGGACGCTGGAATCTTGACCTGAGCCGAAGGCAGACACTTAACGACTGAGCCACCCAGGCGCCCTGAGGAAGAGAGTCTCAAGCAGACTCTGTGCATTGAGTGTGGAGCCTGACACAGGGCTTGATTTCATGACCCTGAGATCATGAGATCATGACCTGAGCTGAAACCAAGAGTCGGTCACTTAACTGACTGCCCCACCCAGGCACCCCATACCTTTCTTCCATTTGTGTACCACATTAATACCCTCGTGCCGTTGGTCTACCACTTCAGTAGGATAAGAGGAATGGTCAGGGCCTCTGGCAAACCTGGATTTTTAAAAATTTTTATGTATGTATGTATGTATTTATTTTAGTTTTATAAAGTTAATTAGTTCACAACTGACTATAGAGTCCATTTCAGGCATCAACTTGTTATTAATAGCACATACAATAATAACCTGTGGGAACAATCTATGGAAGTGATCCTGCCAGAATTAGCGAGTGGATCAAGCTACATGAGAAATATTTTGGCAGTTCTCTTGCGAGGCTAACAACCCATGAACCTGGATGCCAGTATCACAGCAGCCAGACATTTCCTTGGAACTGTGTTTAAGCTGAATGGTTCTAGTTGCAGAAGTGCTCAGGAGTCTTACTTCATGGTCTGTGCTGACAAGGATAAACCTTGTGTTAAGTAAATGTTGTTCACCAGATCCATTAATGCTAGGTTTTACTGTAGTAAAAGATAGAAAAAGAGTTGTGTATACTAGTACTAAAAATTTTATTCCCTCTCTTTCCCTCATAAAAATGTATATATTGTTTATTTTTTTTTAATTTTTAAAGAGGATTTTATTTGACAGAGAAATGGAGAAGCAGATCCCCCGCTGAGGGGGGAGCCCAACGTGGGGCTTGATCCCAGGACACCTGGGATCATAACCTGAGCCAAAAGGCAGCCACTTAACCAACTGAGCCACCTAGGCACCCCCCCAAGAAACATTTTTAAAAAGAACATTAATTTTTAATTTTTTATCTGTAAGCATGTGAAAATACATGTGAAGCTAATAGTTTCATAGCTTTCTATGTACCAATATCATTTATGTTTTGTATTTTGTCTCGCTATTTTGTCATTAAAATTAGTAATTTCAGCCATTAAAAATCTTTAAATCCTATGGTAATTCTGAACAGTTGGCTTCTTAAGTGGATAAGAAAGGACCAGGGCCTTGATAAAGGATTTGATAAGCAAATAGAGTTCAGTGATAATTGTCGAAAGGTATTATGCTGTGGTATTATGCTTTGGTATTGTAGTCTTCTGTTTTAACTTTATTAAAGAACTTTCCCTGAAAAATCAAAAAAGGTCCAAAATAACATCTTGCATCTGAAGGAGAAAATAGCCATTTGTTGATAAATTGTTTTAATGTAATTTGACCAGTTACGATACCTTCTGATTTTTTAGAGGTACCCTGGCCAAGTCATACTTAAATCAACCAGATTGCGCCTGGCTCATTCAAGAAGAAGAAGCACAGCCAGTCCCGTGCCCTGTGAGGACCAGTGTGACTCTCTGCCAGGAGCGCCCCAGGTAGAAGAGAAAAATGAAATGGTGGAGGAAGGAAGAGGGAAGCTCACATCATTGCAGAAAACAGAAGCCCAGAGCCTCGCACAGCTTGAAGATAGTTCATTAGCACAACTTGAAGCCCCTTCATTACCTCTCAGTGGTGTTACCTCTGAACTGCCGCCCGCGGTTTCTCTTCCACTTTTGAATAATACTGACCTCGAACCGGGTTCTGTTACCATAGCGCCACTCCCCCCACCTCTTCCTCCAACACCCCCTCCGCCCCCACCCCCTCCTCCCCCTCCCCCACCGCCGCCCCCTCTGCCTCTTGCCAAGGACCACTCCTTGGAGACCCTGGAGAAAGGTCAACTTGGTAGAGAGGGGAGCGAGATGAGGACCGCGGAGCCTGCTAGCGCACCACCGGCACAGCTGTTTGACAGCAGCCAGCTGGTCAGTGCCCGGAAGCGGCTCAGAAAGACTGCTGAAGCTTTGCAGAGGAGGAGAGGTAAGTTCGACAGACACATTCACGTTCCTCTGCTGAATAGGGTGAGACGTAAGCACAGGACTTTCTATTTCATAGCACCCTACAGAGCTTAAAACATTTCATTTTCGGACATTATTCGACAGCAGATAGGTTTTCATGGTCCCAGCTTGGCGGAAATCGTACCAACCCACATCGGCAAATGTGTATAGACACAGGAATGTGTACCTTCTTGAGCTCTTAGAGATGTTTTAAAAACTATATATTTTGAAGTGATACTTGGTCTCTCTGGTAATACATAGGAAGTGGTTCCTTCTATGTTTAAAATAAAATCTGATTTAACCTAGGAAATACAAGGAAGGTATTCACATCAGAGAAAGTAAGCCAGCTGGGCAGGACTGTCACACTAGGATGACGTTGGCAGGACCATGTAACATTTGGTCACATATTTATTGAGGGCCTTGGTATTCTCTGTACGAAAAAGCAAGGAAGGGGACGCCTGGGTGGCTCAGTCGTTAAGCATCTGCCTTCGGCTCAGGTCATGGTCCCGGGGTCCTGGGATCGAGCCCCGCATTGGGCTCCCTGCTCAGCGGGGAGTCTGCTTCTCCCTCTCCCTCTGCCTGCCACTCCCCCTGCTTGTGTTCCCTTTCTCTCTCTCTCTCTGTCAGGTAAATAAATAAAATCTTAAAATAAAAAATAAAGGAAGAATGGGGAGTAACATACACAATTTACTGCATGTCAGATAAGCCTTAATAAAGCTGTTCTTGGAAAGAACAGAATAATCCTGGTCCGTAGATTTCATTGGTAGAATATTATATAAAACAATGTGCATGTTAAATTTTAATCTGAGAGACCATACTGTAAAATATTTCTTACCATAACTGGAGTAGAATTTTATATGTAGAACAACTAAATGGAAAAAAACAGAACAGTCACTGTAGTCAGGGCACCTGGCTGGCTCAGTCATTAGAGCATGCAACTCTTGATCCTCAGGGGCAGGAGTTTGAGCCCCCATTGGGGATAGAGTTTACTTAATAATAATAAAAAAAAACCTCTTTAAAAGAAAAATAAAAAATCACCATAGTGAATCAAAACTTAGTTCTTTAAAATTACATTTGTAACTCAATTGCTGTCTGAATTTAGATTGAACTGGTGCGTTATGGAAATCCTTTGGGAGTCTCACCCATTATATTCCCAAAGAGCACCTTCTAGCTCCCAATCTGCTTGCTTCTCTCACATGGGAAATGATAGAAATAATAACTTGGACTTGGAGTCTGGGTGTTGTGGCTTTGTTTGTTTCTTTGTCCAAGCATAATTGGGATCCCATGTGTTCCTGGGAAACCTTCAGTCCAAACTTCATGGTCCATATTGTTTTCCATGTCCTTGGCTAACACAGTCCTAAAGTCTAGAGGTTGCCAGTTGGACTCTTAATCATGATCCTAACTGTCATTGTTCTCTTTCATTTGTAAAGTGAGCTCACCCATGGATGAGGTGCTAGCTTCCTTGAAGCGTGGTAGTTTTCATCTGAAAAAGGTTGAACAGCGAACTCTACCTCCTTTTCCTGATGAAGATGATAGTAATAATATCTTGGCACAAATCAGGAAAGGGGTAAAATTGAAGAAGGTACAGAAGGAAGTTCTGAGAGAATCCTTCACACTTCTGCCTGACACAGACCCTCTAACACGAAGCATCCATGAAGCTCTTAGAAGAATCAAAGAAGCGTCCCCTGAGTCAGAGGATGAAGAGGAAGCTTTGCCTTGCACAGACTGGGAAAACTAACAAGTAAATGGTCCTATTTTCTTTCGTAGCATCAGTAATACAGCTTTTCTATTGGATGAGGAGGTCTGTTAGATTTTATTGATGAGATTTATTATTTATTATACAGCTCAGTTATAGCATGGACCACAGATTTATGAACTTCAGGTTTTGTGTAGTTTCTAGAAACTTAACAGTAAAGCACTTTTCCAAAAATACTCTTATGTAAATGCTGTGTTTATATCCTGCTCATGAAAAATTTCTACAGTATAGCTGTAGCCCAAATAAAGAGGTAGTCTTATCTCAGTAAAGTGACAGTCGTATTTCTTGTTTTTAAAAACAGAAAAGGCGGGACATCTGGGTGGCTGGGTTACGCGTCTGCCTTCGGCTCTGGTCATGATCCCGGGGTCCTGGGATCAAGTCCCGCTTGGGCTCCCTGCTCAGCAGGGAGCCTGTTTCTCCCTCTCCCGCTGCTGCTCCCCCTGCTTTTGTGCTCTCTCTCTGACACGTAACATCTTTAAAAATAAATACAGAAAAGGCTTTTTCTGACTAAAGTATTTCAGGTACAAACTTAATGTGTATTGAATTTTGGTGTCTTCTTAGCTGCCTACAAAGGAATTTTCTGAGGTCAGTTTAGAAAAATGATTGCATTGTCTGATTATTCAGCTTTCTAAGCTTATAAAATGAAGGTTTATCATTTTAAGGCTTATCATAGTCACTGCATGATACAGATAAAATTGCAGCTAATATAAATATGTAGTAAGTGTATGCATATCTTTCTGAGTACACCTGTGGGTACTGGTAACACATTTGGGGTTCTCCTAAAGTAATAGAGTTTTTTACTTTACCACATTTTAGTAATAAGCTAATTATATAGTTCTATGGCACAAATTATGCTAAATACAGTCATTAAAGATAGCATATGCTATAAATAGTATATTTAGAATTGATAGTAGTCCTAACTGAAATGTTACAACTTGTGCAAACTGTAATGCAAATATGCACATATATTCTAGTAAGTATCTTATACTCTCTTGATGGACTGTTTCTATGGGCTTTACAACATTCACCAAAAGTTGGAGGGGCGGGAGGGAGACTGATAGCCCTGGGAAGGAAGTAGGTAAAAATAATAAACTTATTTGTTAGCAAAGTGATTCTTAAACATGCCTGATCATAGAATTACCTGGAGAGCTTATTAAAAATGCAGATTCTTGGCTTTCACTTCCATGGATTCTGACTGAGTAGATCTGATGTATATGCAGGCATACATCTAGATTTTGAAGACATAATACAAAAAAAGGTAAACTGTGTCATTAATTTTTTTATATTACTAACATGTTGAAAGATACTGTTTGGGATATATCAAATAAAATACTACTAAAAGCAGTTTTACCTGCTCCTTTTGGGCATGGATCCATCAGGAAAATGTAGATGTTCTTCTACAGTGCTCTCATCCCTACCTCTCCGCATCAGCATCTGCACTAATCAGTAGCTTTAACAAAAAGCGGGGGGTGAAAAATCGCGTTCCCCTCGATAAGTGGTTATATATTACCTTTTTTGTGCGCTCCAGCTAGCGTTCAGTAGCACCACTGTCCTGCCTTGGGCACTGGGCTGTTGGTATCCCTTTTTCCTCTGTTTATAGAGGCCCTAATTATCACTTTGTAGGACCCCAGTGTTTTTGGATCCCAAATTAATTTCAAACCATTTGTGCTTATACCTTTGTACACCATGCTTTGTAGAAGATACGAATATATTATTGTGTCTACTCAGTATGCGACTATGTCTAGGGATTCAGCATATCTGACTGGGAATCTTCCACACTGTCTGCCACTTCACAGTGCTTGTTACCTATCCCCTTGTCTCTTGCTTGGAGCTTCTCAGTGAGCTGCTAAGCCTATGCCTAAAACTACCATCTTAGGCACTGATTAGTTAACCCCACAGTTGGGCCTTCAATAAATGAGTGTTTTCGTCTTTTGGTTACAGCTGCCTGCAGTAGCCCAGTTAGGGTACATGGCCCACCAGCACTTGCTCAGACCAGCCCATCATCTCCATTTGTTTTCACCCATCCCACCAGATCCTGCCCAACATGTAGACATGGCAGCAGCAGTTCGTATGTTCAAGTGCTTGGGTGGTTATTTTTAGCTTTTGGCTGCTAATTTACCCTTAGAGCTATGTTAAAAATATGTCCACAGTGAATAGCATTTTGAAAATTGCCTAAAAAAATTTTTTTGGCTGATTATTACTTATGGCTGGCATATGTATTAATGTTGAGAGAAAAGTGAAATACTCCCAGAAAACACATGAGCTCAGATATCTGCAAAGTTACTTATAAAAGAACAATGTATCCTGTACCAGAAGCAAACCATAGACTAGTTGTAATCCCCACCAATTTGAGCAGGCATTGATAAAGGAGCTATTCTCACTGCCTTGTATGTGGTCTTGGGAAATTGTTTTTAAGACTGAACTTTTAGATGCTTCTCTACAGATGGCTAACAGGTCTATAATTTTATTTCCTATTACAAATCTGTTTCTTGAGGGTTTTAAATCATTAATTAGCTCTTCAGAAAAAAATAATTTCTCAAAACTTCATGAAATAAAAAGTGAGTATCTCCTGTTCTGCCTTGTCTTCCTTTAAAACTCTTCTCAGTGGGGCACCCAGGTGGCTCAGCCAGTGAAGCCTCTGCCTTCAGCTTAGGTCATGATCTTGGGTCCTGGGATCGAGCCCGACATCTGGCTCCCTGCTCAGCGGGGAGTCTGCTTCTCCCTCTCCCTCTGCTGCCCTCCCCACCACTTGGGTTCTCTCTCTGTCTCAAATAAACAAATAAAATCTTTCAAAATAATAATAAAACTCTTTTCAGAAACAGCCATAGGTAATAGTGTCCTGGAAGGAAATTTCTAAACATAAGTAAATACATATAATTATATAGACTTTATAGTTAGTTTCTAATTTCTTTTCTGTGGGTTCCTCCTTTAAGTTAAGAAGTAACTATGATGACACTGTCTGATAGAAATACAGTATGATCCACAGATGTAATTAAAACAGTTCTCACAGTCACACTGAAAAGGTAGAAAGAAACATACAAAATTGATTTAACTTTATTTTATATGATGTATCCAAAATAGTATATTTCAACATCCTATCAATATAAAAAATTCACAATGTAGTTTATTTTTTTTTTTTACTGAGTCAGTCCAGTTTGTATTTTATACTTAGTAGCACATCTCAATTTGGATGCTAAGTATTCAGTGGTTAAAGTTGAAATGTCCTAGCAAAACAATCAAATTGCATTTAATAGAGAAATACTTTATACTGCTTCAGATTTTAATTTAAACCAAATTAAAAATTCACTTTCTCAATCACATTGGCCACATTGCAGGTTCTCCAAAGCCACACGTAGCTACGGTATTAGATAATGCAGAACTATAAAAATAAGTTAGGACTTGATTTATGTACATGTTCCTTTTTATCTGCCAAGTGGGTTTTTCATATAAGTGCTCCTGTGCAGTGTGTAAGCAATAGATCTCGAATACAACTATTCCGGAACTTAGCTAAAACATCTCTGTGAAGACCGGTACTAATCCTGTCCTCTACATGTCAGTATAACAAAAAACTCACTTTCTCGTGAATTTTTAAAATATCATTTAATTCTTAATAGACTGGCAGTTTATGAGGCTGGCATTTTAGGTTGTATTTGGTCCTTTTTATTGTGTAGTTCTGACAAAATTAAAAGGAATAAAAGTGAATCTAACATACAACCTTCTAAGTGTTCAAAGTTGTATTCTAATTATTTTGTTTCCATTTTTATTGCTTTAAGAATACAAACGCATTTTTTTATTTTTTTAAAATTTTTTAAGATTTATTTATTATTTATTTTGAGAGAGTGAGAATGAGAGAGAGTACATGAGAGGAGGGAGGGTCAGAGGGAGAGGCAGACTCCCTGCTGAGCCGGGAGCCCCATGCGGGACTCGATCCCAGGACTCCAGGATCATGACCTGAGCCTAAGGCAGTCGCTTAACCAACTGAGCCACCCAGGCGCCCAACGCATTTTTTTTTAAAACATGTCTCTTATATACTGTCTTTACAAATGGCCATTTATAAGAAATATCAGTGCCAGATACTGCAAAAGTTGTGTGGGAACATATATGTGTTTACAACAACATGATACATTTAACATGGCATATTTTTAAAAGACCACAGTCTTTAGTAAGTAAATATTTTTTAATACACTGTATATTTTTGTTTGTAAACAGGTGACTCAACAGAAAGAAAAAAACACCTACAGTTGAAGATCAAAGATTTTTTTGGAAAACAAAATTTTAAATGTGTGATTTCCCAACTGGATTCCATTAGATGCAAAGTGTGTTGGCTCAGTGCTATGAAAAAATGGAAGCACAATTGGCAAGTTAACGCTTTTCCAGTCATTCCAATATTGGTGGTTAACATGAGTTTTAGATGTGCAGTGTTCCTGATGCAATGAAGAAAAGGCCTTCCAGAGATGCCTGGTTTTTTAAGCACCTTCCCTTCCTGTCCACCCATGTACATCTTCGTAGTGGCCAGTCAAGCTAGGGGGTTGCTCTGAGTTTGAAAAACACTGGGTTGACAGAGACCTGTGAGCTGTATCGGGACTGCTTTGAAATCCATCTTTAAGTGCACTGAATAGTCCTCTGCTTGAAAACACAGAGCTTCTTCTGTATCAGCTCGTATAGTCGGGACACTCTGAAAAAGAAGTTTATCATGATAGCTATAGGACAGGAATTGGAAAGAATCAGATGGAAATGCACTGAAAATTTCCACATTACTCATCTCCAAAGGAATTTTCATAAAGATGTTCAACATCTGAAAAGATATATAACCATGGAGATACACTTAATGTGTTTACCACAACATGATACATTTAACATGGCGTATTTTTAAAAGACCACATACTCTCACACTTTGTAAGGTTTTGAAGTAAAAATTTCCATGCTTTTAAATAGCTCTTCATAATTGTGAATTTATAATAGTTTGAATTTCATGTGCAGCTTTGTTTATGAAAAGCAATACTTTGTAACTTGATAATATTTCAGATTATTTTTAGTCCTTTTGTTTGAACGATTGCTTGATTAGTGTAATTCAACATGACTTTCCTATTGAGAATCAAAAATGAGGATTCAATAATAGGGATGCAGATCTTAAGTCTGTTTAACATGCACCATTTAAGTTTTTCTTTTTATGCTCCACAGTGAAGTGTGCTCTACAAGTATGCAGAAAGTAGACAGGCAGAAAAGCCTCCTTGGATAGCATTTCACTATCTTCACATGTTTTGAGTGGAATTTGGGGAGAGAGCCTTTATTACTTTTAGTAGACCTTTTAAAACATACGTATGTAGTTCCAGGTGCTGAGTTTGCCATAATGGCACCCCGAAGGGCACATTTATATGAATGGAGCCATTATGAATTCTCAGCAGGAGTGTTGTGGGCTTGAATGAAGGTAGATATGGCAGACTCGGTCTGTAGTATTCTGTAGAGTGTAATTCTGCATCAGAGAGATGTTGGCCTTTATATGAAGGGAGTTAAGTAAGGACTGATGTACCAAAAAGAACTTTATTTCTTCCGAGGCATTTCTCTGGCCTAGACCCAGAAAGCAGTCCCAGAGTAAAAGTCCTCCAATGCATATGAATTGGTTTTTCAGAAGAGAGAAAACATGCTTACACCTTTGGTCACTTTAAGATGTATTTCCTTTAAAATGATTATGGAGAAAATTTTCTGTTTATTGATGAGAGTAGGAGCTTTTGCACAGTTTTTACACAATACGTTAGTTTTCTTGTATTATTCCTATATCTTACCTTGGAAGGTTAAAATATATATCTAGTATAGAGACTTAATCTTTATCGCACAGTGGGGGAGGTGGGTGTGGAATTTTCCCCGTTTGCTTCAGTAAAGCATTGAAGCGTGCTTTTCAACCAAAATAATGATTGGTTTGATTAATATAATTTGGCAAAAAAGTTTAAGCAAATTTGCAAACCTTAAAAAAATCATGTATCAGTTTTAAGCCTTTGGATGCTTATGAATAAGTTTGTTTTTTCATTCATTGATATTTAGAAAAATACAGGAGAACTTAACATTAAATTAACAGCAAAAGCACTAGAACTTTTATATGTCAGGAATTTGCTCCCTATTTAGTGTTACAGCTGGGATTCCATTAAAAAACAGGCTCACTCATAAATGGGTACTGTGATTTGTCTTCCAGAACCATGTTCTAGTAAGTCTGTAGTACTCTGGAGGGGGTACAGACCCCTGTGAATCCTTTTGGGGGTGCATCCACAACTCTGAGTACATCCCACTGTGGCACTTCATGAAGATTATCTCACTTGAAGATGATGAGTAGGTTAAAGCAAACCCTTGTTTACAACCAGCTGTACTTATTCTCTGCTAAATAAACTTTCTCCACCACACCTATTTTCCATCCTTAAGATTCAGATTCCTACTTGCACAGAATTACAAGTTACTGCAGATCATCCACCTTTGGAGTTCTCACAGTGTTAAAATTTCAAATAAGTACAGTCCACTTGTCCAGGATGAGATTACTGGTTGAATCCTCAAGTTAATTTTTTTCCTTATGTTTAAGATTTTATTTGAGAGAGAAAGAGCATGGGATCAGAAGAAGCAGGCTCCCCGCTGAGCAGGGAGCCCAATGTGGGACTCAATCCCAGGACTCCAGGATCATGACCTGAGCCGCGAAGGCAGTCGCTTAACCAACTGAGCCACCCAGGTGCCCTCCTCATGTTAATTTTAATGCAGTTTGGAACCCAACAATTCTGTAAGCATGGTTATTCCCCCTTCCTCCCCCCCTGCCCTTAAAAAAAAAAGTGTCTTTGCTCTTATTAAATTCTAATATATTTAATTAAGATGGTAGTTACAGATGATCACATATTTCAAGTTCCACACTTGCCCATACTATTTATATGGCTTAAAATATTTGAGAGTTACATCTCAATGTGTCATTTCTGTCATAAGAATACACAAACAACTCCTTGTTTGTGCTGAATCACTTTAGAAGTTCATTTACCAATCTAGTCTCGACTAATAAATTTTAAATAGGGAAAGAGATAACCTGAGGATATTTTAAGGTTAAGATTACTGCTCACTTGAATGCCATTTTTAAACAGTTCTCCCACTTACAGTCAAAATGCTGTGTATATAACCAATGTGGTACATATAGAAAAGGTATTCCTAATCTCAAATCTGGGTGGTACTATGGTGGGGCAGTGTGGTGAAATTCCTGGCTAAAGAGGATTTTTAAGAGATGAGCAATTGTCTTGCTTACTTGATACATGTTTTATAGGTTTTGAGTTTGTGAGCAGCATAAAAACAATCATTCCCTAGTTGTTCATTGTGGAACTGAAAGATCTCTTAATGTGTATTTTTAAACAAATTTAGATTCAGCCGTAAATGTTGACCAGGTATAGTATTTTCCACAGTGGGAAAGTGGGGTTTTCCTCATTGCATGAAACCATAGGGAATTTTCTGCACTTTGATTTACTGTGTAAAATGAGGGGGCAAAAATCCTTGTTTCTAAAAGCTGAACTGTGTAGCAATTTTTGGTAACATATGGCATGGCCACTTTGCCATAAAATGTGTTAAATTCTGAGGCGTACTTAGGCCATAGCAGGCACTAAGAATTAAACCTATCAGTGGAACAAAAATGAACAGGCAGCATCCTCTGTTTGGAATGGGACCAGTGTACAATTAACACAATTTAATTTTATACATTCCTTAAGATTCCATTTTTTAATTGCATTCATTGAGTTTGTGTATAAATTTAAGTCAATGCCTAAGTCAGTTTAGTCTTAGCATAAGGAAAGTTTTTTCTTCCACTAAATACAAAGTTTTGGGGTTTTGGTTGTTTTTTTTTAACCTTTATAATTTATTTTAGTATGCACATCGTATCAGATACCAACCTGTAAAGTACTATAGTAAGGGGTCCTTTAAAGGCCTTATCAGGGAGTTCAGATTTCATATACATTATTACCAGGTTATTTGTAAGAAATCGTTTTGAACAGCTGTAAAACATTTAAAAACCGTGGCAGACGCATTAACCATTTGATAATGAGAGCAGAAACCTTAACAAGTTTTACCTAATTCTTGCACTGAATTTAAATGATAATATAAAGTTAAACGTGCATTTTAAACAGATTTTATTTCACATTTATAGCTTAGCATACAAGAAGAGCTATGCTTAGTGTTAGAGGATTGACCAGCAAGATATATTCCAGATGGAAGTGGTAAGAGAGTAGAAGCACCTTACTGTTGGAGCATATTGCATTTATTTAGTGCTCCTGAACAATTCAGTAGTTACTTCTGAACTTCGCTGCAAAGTGCTCTTTATTTTAAGCACATAAAGAGGGATCTCTGCCTAATTGCTTTGTAAGTTGAAGCAATGGTATTTTTCATCCTATAGTCTAATTTAAAAGTTTTTCCTACAAAATGAGTTTATATTGCTGCCTCAACTATCATGTATGTAAACAGAGGAGTTTTTTTTTTTAAGGGTGAGAGGGAATCGGGGTCCTGTGTGTGTGCGCGCGTGTGTGACATGTTTGCCCATTGGGTTATTTGGAAGATACGGTCACTCTAAAATATTGTTTTACCCACAAATATAAATGTACAGCTTGGTATTTGAGGGGTTTGATTGAATTCAAATTCATAAATGTTTTTCCCCTTCCCCACTTTTATTATGCCACTGTTAAGGTGCATGTACAGAAGATACCTCGGAGGTTGACATATAATAAATATTTCATCAATGCTATTTCACATTGAATCTCAAAGCAGTCATTTGTTTTGAGAGTTAAGGGAAAGTTTTTTGTTGGTTTTTTTAAAAGTCAGGTATAACTAAGGGTGGCTCAATTTGGGGGAGTTAAGGGTGGAGAGGAAAGACCGTGGAAAGTCATTTTTAGATGTATACACAAAGGTATGGGTGTTGGTTATAGAGGTGAATTTTAACAAGGGAAGTTTTGGGTTTTTTTTCTTAAACTTGCATGTTCTATGGTTAACTATCCAAGAGTGTAACAAGTTATTCTAGCTTTTCCCAGTTCTAATTATATTGGTTTTAAGAAGTCTTCATGGTCACAAGATGGCATTTTCCTTTCAATTGTGAACCAAGAGGGATAGATAATACCACCCAGACAGTGACTTCTGACTTCTTTAACTTGGACAGAATCCCCACTGTCTCGTTGAGTTTCTCGTACTGTATGTCTTGCCAAGTGTGAAACCATAATATATAGTTTGTGAAAAATGGAAGGCTACAGATCATTTTGCATGATTAAAGCCCATTAGGGCTACTGAAACTGACATGTTTTTTAGCCTTTCTGGTTAAGTGAAAATTACAATGGCAAACCAATTCACCATTTACTAGCTTTGTGCAATATTATAATGGTAGAAGCAAAACACTAGCACATTGTGCTTGGCTTTTAAAGAGGCTTTAACACCGTACATTAAACGGAAGTGTGCACAGTGTATTGTAAATGCCAACTCTTTGCAAATTTACAATACTTAAATATGCTCCATTAATATTCTAAAGTATTAAAAGTACAAAGAAAAAACTAAGCAGGCATTTATAGCAATACTCTGAAATCTCCAATAATTGTTTTGACTGTTGCCTTTTGCTCCTTAGTGCAACTTTTCTGCGTTGTAATTATTGTATTGCTTTGTATTTTCATGTTTTTTACACTCATGACTTCAGAGTTAAGTACTTGTACAGCAAGTATTGCAATCACTTTCTCTTCTTGTACATGCAGTGTAACAACATACAGTTTTGGTGCTTAACAATATTCCTTTTTTTCTTTAATAAAAGGTATTTATTGAGTTAACTTCATTTTGTTTGTTTAAAATAGCACTGGTAGGTATTGTCACTTCATTTCAAATAGAAGGAGCACAGCAAGTTGTGAATTTGCTATGACATTATGAACAGGCTTTGGAGACTCTCTACCCTTGTACTTCTGCCTCTTCCTGACTACTATTTATAATGAAGTATTTTAACAGTTGCCGAATTTATGCTAATAAAAGCCTTACTCATGTTGTTTGTGTAGCTATCCACATAGTTTGGCGATGTTGACTTCCAGAATTTGGAAGATCTTTAAATGCCTTTCATTTTAGCAAGCCATCATCTGTGACTATTTAAATTTGAGATTATTGGCTTTACACTTAAACATAGGACCAGCTTAACCGGAACCCAGCAGCTCCCCTTATCTGATGCTGACTTGATACAGCCCCCATCATACAAGAGGCACACGTTTAAGGGCGGGTCCCTGGTGCTGCTCAGTCCCCAGGTAAGGGCTCCAGTTCCATCTCTCCCTGGGCAGTTCAAATCACTTTTGTTCCCTTAGATAACAGAATTCTTGTTTCTGATTTTTTATTACTGGGGCTATCTAGTTCCTATGTGAGAAAGTTCACAGCCTGGTATTAAATAATTTCTACCTTCCCCAAGCCATCATTTATAAAACGATGGGCTGAACACAGTGGACTTTGGTACTTTGCCAATTTCAGGATTCTGTAGTAAGAAATGAGAAATTTCTCCCAAGGGAGAGATTAATTCTATGTATTCCCTCTGCAAATAAATCTGAAACTAGCCAGAAGGCTTTGATTTACTGGATGGTTTTTCTACGATAATGTAGAGAATGGATTTAATAAGAGCAGATCTAGCCAAACTGGCAGAATATCATCTCTGAATTAAACTTAGATACATTAATACAACTCTCAACACAGTACTTCAGAAGAATCCTAGTACCTAGTTCACCCTTACGAAGTCAGGGTGTGGCTGGCTTAGGATAGCCTCCCTGGGTAACCTCTCTGTTGGACTAGCCATCTTCACTAAGGTAAAAAAAAAAAAATCTCTTGGAAATCTAGGCCTGATAGAATTCCTCAGTCCTTTACAACTGTCATTCATCCTGACCTTGCTGAATTCCATAAGCTGGATGAAAACCTCATGAGTTCTTTGCTACAGGAAGCTGTTTGGGAGAGGTTTAGAATTCTTTGGTGCAAAAATACCAACAGTCCATCACATTCTGACAGTGAAGTTTGATCTTATTTCCCAAGCACTCTGCCTCTCTGCCAAGTTACTACATTCATACCCTTTTCAGAGAGACCCTACAACTTTGTTGCTCATCAAAAACTTTGTTCCTTGCTGTTGGCATTTTCTCCAGATCTCTCCACCAATAATCTTGCCCATTCACAAGATCCTCTTGCTTACCAGTTGTGCGCTCTCCTAGTTCTCTGAAGTTGGCAGTCAACTGCTTAACGTCTAACAGGCTGATGACCCATTCACTCTCCCTGAGTTCATCCTGGGTCTGTCCTCTACTCACAGCCGCCTCCTACTTCGTGCCTTCCTTCCTCCCTCGTGCCTCCCTCTGTCCACTCTCGGCTGTTGCTGGGAATGACTCCATAGAGTCAGGCCATCAAGCATCTTTCCGATCTCATGTTCGTCCCTGTCATTAATTCCAATGGCCAGGCTTGCAGTGCAGTCAGTATGGTCCTAGATTCCCTGCCTCCACACTGGCTAGGGTAAACATGCACTGATGTACAAGGGTTTCCGCGAGCAGACTCTGGTCTCCTTTCTGAGCCCTTAGCTGTAGCATCTCCATTTCACATGCTCATCTCATGCCTTTCCACCTGCACACGTGTCTGCCTAAAATGCTTTTCTGTTGACACCATCTAAATTCCATCCATTGAATGTTAATTTGGAAAGCACATGGGCAAGCGTGACCCCTCTGGTGTGTCAACATCCTTAGAACACTGGAAGTAAGGGAATAAGAAAGTTAAGATGTAAGAGGAGTTACAAAATCTGATCTATTCTTCATGATTCTATAAATGTTACTCATCACATCAAAAACTAATGATGTAATGTACAGTGATTAACATAATAAAAAATTTAAAGAAAAAATGTTACTCATCATTTGAGGCAGAGCGAGAAATAAAAGGGTTTAGGTATTAAATTGTCCACAGTGACAGCTACTACATTTGCAGCTTCAGTTTAACCCCTCCATCATTTCCCACAGCAACTTCAACTTCACTCTCAACCCTGTAAGGTCCAAGTGCTCAGCTTTTAATTTTACACTGTCTTGAAAAGAGCTCATTCTAGGCTATAACTAGACCCGAGTCTCCTGTGTTGAGATGTGCTAGAGAAACTCAATAAAAATTTTCAAGAAGTATGAAAATAAAATATGAAAGACATCAGGATGTAAATTCAAATAAAGTCAGTTACAGACGGTAATTATGGTTAGTCACAGGGCTAACAGGCGGTGTAGATGGAGGAAACTTGGTCCCCACACCACAGTTTCTGCAGGGGGAGTCAGGAACATCTTTATCCCCACACAATATATGCCTACACAGTTACCTGTCTCACAGTGATGTCTCCAAGCTGCAGAAGCTGGGACTCTTACTCAGCCTCAGCAACCTTTTTTTTTTTTTTAAAGAATAATTAGAGCACGCACAAGTTGGGGGAGGAGCAGAGGGAGAAAGAATCCGCACGCTGACGTCCCCCCTGAGCACAGGGCTCTGTCCCAGGACCCCTAGATCGCAACCTGAGCTGAAATCGAGTTGGACGCTCGACTGACAGCCACCCAGGTACCCCTTCAGCAACTTCTTTCTATTCAGATGCTTCTGGAGCTACAACATTCCCAGTAACTGGCCAGTTCAAGTTCTTTCAACCCTCAGTAAATGTCTTGCCATATCGACCTGATCTGGAGGCCCTTTATATTGAAATAATATTAAAAATTGCTTTAATCTAATTAATTAATATTGCTTTAATCAAGTCATTGCAAGTCTATGAATATGGATTTTGAAGAAAAGCCTTAAGAGCAATTAAACCCACTGGCCAGTTTCTGTTGGAATAGTTTACTACCACGAACAATTAGTTATCCCCAAGGGTGCTCAATACCTCCCATCAACAGACGCTTTGTATATGTCATCAATGATGATGAAAGACTGGCAAACTATAAGAAACCTTATGTTGTTTGTAATCCTTTTTTAATGTAAAGAGTGAAGTCTGGCAGGAATCACTCATATAGTTACTCCTAAAACTTCTTATGAAAGATTTAGAATAATATAAACCCTACTCTGAATTTTTAATTTTGTGTGTGTGGTACAGTGTGTGGATATACACTTAAGCTAGAGGAATAAATTAACATCATTAAGTGACTTGGGAGAAAAGACAGGCAGAAACTTAACGCCTGTAGCCATCATGGGCATATCGTGACATAATCTTACTCAAAATTACATTATGAAAAAGCCATACTATGGTTCTATGGTGTAAGTAGTCCAGTTGGCATCAATATCCCAGACATGTTGTAGGCCAAAATAATCTTTTTCATGCTTAAAGAAAGACCAAAACCTGTGGGATATTTGAGTAAACGTACAAGTTTCCTAGGAATTCAGATCTACTTAAAATTATTTGGTCTTGGGGTGCTTAGGTGGCTCAGTCGGTTAAGCGTCTGCCTTCAGCTCAGGTCAAGATCCCAGGGTCCTGGGATCGAGCCCTACATAGGGAATCCCTGCTCAGCAGGGAGTCTGCTTCTCCCTCTTCCTCCCCCTGCTTGTTCTCTCTCTCTCTCAAATAAAATCTTAAAAAAAAAAATTATTTGGTCTTCCCGGTAGGCCACTTTGTGACCTACCTCTTTTCAGAAATAGGGTGGCCTTCCTGGGCAAGTATACAGTCAATTCCACAATTTTTGAAACAATGTTAACTCTATTGCCTCTTCTGTCAGCACTTCCGAGGACCATCATAAAGTGCAACCATAAGTTTACTGTGACCCAGCACTTGCTCTAAAAGGTTTTCTAATGTTAGCTATGAATTTCTCTGATGTTACCTAAGCTTTGGTATTACATTATGTTGAATCATCAGAAGGCAACACCTCGACATATTACCTCACCAACTCCAGCAATACATTCACTGCATTAGCTACAAGCACGATGACTTTATACTTCAGCTTTCACGGATGGGTGAGGTGTAGAAATAAATACCTATTTCTAGTCTTCATGACTCTTTCCTAGTTAGTCTCACTCTTTTCCATGGCTTTAAATGACATCTGTTATGATGATTCCCAATTAGGATTTTTTCTGGCCTATATACCTCTTCTCAGGACACTAGATCTTTATGTATTCAACTGCCTGATGGTCTCTTCATTTGGATGCCCCACGCATATCTCTAACATAACATGTCCAAAATGGTGCCCTGGACCCACCCATCTAAACCTAAGCCTAGCCTTTCCCAGGTTTGCCCATCTTCCACAGTTCATCCTGTTCTGCAGTTAGGAACCTGCAAGTTCTCCTTGCTGCCTTTCTCACCCTCACCCTCCACATCCAATTCTCCAAGTTCCATGAAGCCTAGGTCCACTTTATATCTGGCATCCTTCCATTGCTTTCTCTGTCCCTTACTACCTTTATCTATCAGACAACCATCTCTCGACTAGACTACTGCACTGGCCTCCTAAATGATCCTTCCATTGCCACTCTTGTCTCTTTCCAACTTACTCTCCACCCACAAAGTGGTGAGATCATATCTCTCTCCTGCACAAAACCCTCCAGTTGCTTTCCATTACACTTAGAATGAAATCTCAAGTCTTCTTATGGTCTGCCTCCAAGGCTGGACGTGGTTTGACCCTTCCTACCAGGCCCATGGCTTACTGAGCTCTAGCCATATGTATAATCTCTTATCTTAGGACCTATGCGAACTGTCCTCTTTCTAGAATTGTTCTCCCTCTCTTTTTTAGTATGATCAACTTATCTGTCTCCTCCAAGTTCTTATATTGAAGTCCTAACCCTCAGAATGTGGAGATGTTCTTTACAGCAGTAGTCAAGTTAAAGTAAAGT